TAGTTAGAAATATAGTCTTGAGTATACATATGTAGTACAAAGGATATTCCCAGTATCATTCCGTGATGTATTCTTTCTAGGACACGACAGAACAGTTGGGCACTTAAGCGCTCGCGATGCATTCGTTCTCAGTTACGGAAGACAAAGTTGTACGAACTATGACATCATGATGGAGTTGGATAGTCTATGAGTCACCACCAGATGTCTTATTGATACATAATAATAGAGGACCTGAAATGTAGCACCCCATTACTGAAAAGGAGGACATGCACACACTTATTTCCGGACAAAAACGCTAAATTTTATAACCCTACAACCCTACAACCCTACAAAATCTAATCAGAACAGACCACCAGCCAGCCCCAGATACACAGTCATTCTCCAGTAAGCACTGACAATAAAGGAGAAGGTAAGGGACCCAGACACTTATATCATGCACAGTGCACGCACATGCTACAGAAGGGATCAAAGACAACTGATAATAAAGGAGAAGGTAAGGTACCCAGACACCTATATCATGCACAGTACACGCACATGCTCCAGAAGGGATCAAAGACACAACACGCTAAGCATGTCGTACGATGCACGCACCAGTACATAGACGGCGTAGTCCTCACCGGTCAACGTCTTCTTGATTCGACCAGACGCACTGCCTATGCTGGCTGATGGGTACAAGAAGATCTGACATATTAAAGCGCATAGGCTTAAACGATACTATACTATAGGAGATACGAACACGCAACTATGAATGGTAGGTAAGCGATGAGCTATTCACTGAACAGACAGGACTTGATGGCTACCCGACGGTCAAGGAATGGATGGTATGGGAGAGAGATTGGCAAGTATATTTCGCTAATGTGCTGAGGTCGTAATGATGATGATAGCTTGGATATGGGTCAAGGGTGCAAGTAGATTGATAGAGGATCCTATACTGTTGATATAGGCCGTGTTGTGGTTCAATGACAAGTGAGGCTGCGATAGACGAGAGCACTAACAGACCAAACAAAAGACAGCACGGGCAAATCCGAGACTCAAGTACAATGAGCCACAGCCGTGTAGCACAAATCTCCATGGACACTATTCAAGCACTTTGTGTGTGAAGTTAAGCCAGATACGTTCGTTTATGACGTGTGCTTGGTGCAGAGGTCACTCTTCCACGCTCTATACGTCTGCTGTAAAGTATAAACTAGTATACAGCAAAGCGACACCAGAAAATAAACCCTGATACATACGAAAATAAACCCTGATACATAACAAAATAACCCCTGATACACACACACCTATCATTGTTGAGTGTGTAGCCTACCTATGGCCCCTACCACAGATACAACAGATAGACGTACAGATACATTGGTGATCGTGTCCGTGGAAGTACACACGCACAATGGACACACACGATACACGCGTTTATACATACATACATACATACATACATACATACACACAAGAGGGCTTGTGTATAGAGATACCTACCGTCCTTGGTAACATCTGAGTCATCGCTCTCGTCGCTCGAGGAGAAGTCACCGTCGTTGGCGAATGACTCGTAGAACAGATTCATATCGTCTGTCTTGATGCCATTGAGATATAACCCACTGCGACTGTACTGTGTCTGACTAGGTTGACTGAGCGACAGCGACGGCTGCTCCGTGCAATATAAAATATGAGTGATGTACAATATAAAACATAGGTGAATAGAAGCCGTTAATGTTGAGTGCAACTATAGGTTGCTCCGTACAAAATGAAACATGGGGGATAAGAAGTCGTAAATGTTGAGTGTAACTATAGGCTGCTCCGTACAATAAAACATGGGTGATGCACAACATAAAACATGGGGCATTAGAAGTCGTAAATGTTGAGCGCAATTACAGGCTGCACCGTACTATATAGAACATGTGTAAAAATAGAAACCGCAAATATCACGTGCAGCTATAGACAAGCTGCTACTATTGCGACAGGATGATGCCGTATCAAACTCTGGCAGGGTGGTTACCTGTTTCTTCTGCAACGTTGCGCTGTCCCCATAATATTCTGTAATGAGTTTTTGGTGATCCGCATTGCCAATGGACGATCTGAGCATACCTGCGACGGATCAGGGTATCGTTCCACAGTCACATGTTATTTTCCAATCAGTTTAATGTATTTGAGTTTATATGCACACACACATACAAACACACACACAAAAACACACAAATCCTATATACAGATATATACAT